AGCTGGCACCCTCAGAGGGCGAGCAAGAAACCAGGAGACTAACCCGTGTGTGAAAACCAGAGAGGAAAGCAGCGGCCCCGCCAGAGTGAGGTGACTCACGGCTACACAGCCCCACTGATGAGCATCGCTGCACAATGAAAGCATGAATAGTGAGTATTAACTGACTCAGAGTGGGGATGTGACCCCACCAGAAGGCAGTTTGGTAGGTGGCTTTCAGGTAGAAAGGAGGGGCTGCACTCCTCTGCAGCAACAGGGACTCGATAGTTAACATCTAAGTCAGGGAAGTCATCCTCAACAAAACAGCCCTACTATTTTCAAAGGCGGTGATAAGCATTAGGGAACAAAACAGTTCAAGACTAAACCACTAAAACGCTGCACTTGCTTACTTCCTTAGACCAGGAAGCAGGAATCCTGTGTGGGTGGGTGCAGTTTCCCCATGTAAGCCTTGTAATAAGACCTGGGGTAGTTGAAACATTCAGTGTATGCCAACTGATCTCAGTACGTGTCACCCTGGTCCCAAAGAAACAGACTGAAAAAAAGGCAAACGGAGTGGCAGGTGCAGAGAGACCATCGCTATTATAGCAGCGGAAGGGAACTCTGGAGGATGTGGGTACAAACACCAAACAGCTTCCCTGAGTCCCCACAGTTGAGGCCGGGAAGGCCGCCTGGGGCACTGGTGCTGGGCACACCCGCAGGACCACCTCACACGGCACACTGCTTGTGCTTCCACTTTGCACACTCACACCCTCCAGCTGGGAAAAGAATCAGGGATACATTTATTTCAATTCTGTGAACTGAACAAAACCATTTTATTTCAATAATCAATAGACCAAAAGCAGAGCAGCACACTCATGCTGGCCTTTTCTACCCACGTCTGATGCTCAAGGCAGGTGGCTCTTTCTTTCTGACATTGTAAATTTTATTTTATGTTGAAATCCTGAACCAGATTTAAAGACGGAATACAGCCTATGAAAGAAGACAACAGAAGCTCTCCAAAAAAAGTGCCCCTGGCTTGCCTTCCAAGTGGCTGTTTGAAGCCACGCTCTTCTCCCACATCCTCTGCCTCTGGGATTGTTTATCTTTATGTTGGGGCCGGTGTGGCTCTGAGAGGGCACAGGGCATCCTGGAGGTCCCTTAGGAGGCCCCTGCTGGAGCTGGGAAGACAGCCAAGGCTCCAGCCTCGAATCCCTTGATGAAATCAACAAACTGCGCCCTGCCTCCTCGGAGCCCTGCCCACTGAGCTGCTGTCACCTGAGCATTAGCACCCCAAAGACCCCATCCTAAATATAAGAAACAGGTATTTTTCACCCCTCACCTCCTAAATAGACAAAGAAGAGAGCCATAATTTGGGTGTGCGGCTTTATGTGCTGTTGCAAAAAGTGCAGTCAAAAACAAAGAATCGTGTCCTCGGATCCCTTAACTCCCACAGTTTTTTTCTGTTTTATGGCTCTCACTGAACTGGAAGGGAAAAGCCGCTGGCCAAAACATGGAACTAAATTCAAAGGGAAACCAAGCCAGCCCACATTTGGAGCCCAAAGAGAACACTGCCACAGAACACCAAGACTTTATTTTGGTATTTATACCTTTGATTTTTAAATAAGCAAAACAGGTCCTCACAGGAAGCACAGTTAATCTCAATAGTGGAGTGGCTGGTTGTAGAAGAAATCCATAGGGACCACCTAAGCATGTGAACTCAACAGGAAAAATACAACGAACTCTTAATTAGGCAGGGAAGAAAAACCTGAGTCATTTGCAGTGGGGATTAATGCAAAGAACACTGGCCCTGGAGCAAATGCTGCATTCAAGTGAGAGCTGTTTGCTACTCCGCACTCACGTAGCAGTAATTTCCTCATCTGTCAAATAGGAGCAATAATAATAACTGACAAAACTCACAAGAATGAAAAGAGGTTAAAAGAGGTAAGGAAGTTGTTTTATCTAAAAATAATGCATGGTATTCACATGACTTGAATTCCCTTTTCTGAGTGCAGTCACTCACTATGTGGTCATTATGTTGGCCACAAGTCTTTCCATGTGTCCCCAACACAAGTACACTAGCGCTTTCTTAATCCCTTGAACATAGATTCGACTTGGCCATGTGATTTGCTTGAGCCAATGAGAACTGAGTAGCAGTAATGTGTTGCTTCCAAACTGAAGCTTCAAAGTCAGTACAAGATTTGCTGTGCATCTTTTCTATGATGGCAACAGGCAGTGTTCCCAGGAGTGACCAACCTGGGGTCGAGGGAGAATGACAGCAAAATTTACAAAGGACCAGGTAGTGCGAATGAGAGACAACCTTTGTGGTTCTAGGCGACCATGATTTTCAAGGCTTTGCTTCCCACTGCCCACCCCTGTGCTCCAATTCCCCTGAATAACATTCGCCAGCATCTAATTCATTCCACAGATGTGTGCTGAACAATGCCAAGCACAGTCCTGGGTGCTGAAAAAATGCACGGACTGATGCTCATTCTCAAGGGGAAGAGTAGGCTTGAGGCTGGTACTCAAAAAGATCCCAGTATGCTGCTGTTTACCAGGGCCAAGGTTGGGAAATGCTGCTTTTGTGTATACTGAGTTCTTTGCATGTGGCCTGGAGGCCTGTAGCTTTGATAACAGAGAAGCTAGAGCCTCCAACAAAAGACCTACAGAAAGGTGATGTATGTGAAGAGAATAAGGACAGAGGCAGTTAAACTGACAAAGTAAAATCTGAATGTGTCACCTTGTTCTATGCTGCCCACCACTTCCTGGCTCAGCTTCTCTTCATAGTTTACTAGATTGTTTTTTCTTTTAGACCAAAGATCAAGTAAAAAACAATTTAAAATTGCTGATCATTAGTATCATTTCCAGAGCCATTTAGTTTTTAAATCCCAAAGCTGCAAAATAAAGAGACAAAGCAATGCATTTCTAATTGTGGAATTGTAGGCACTGTGCCACTTAAGGATGCCATTTCAGCTGGGAGCGAGAGATCTTTCCAACCTATTTTAAATCATGCCATCCTCCATCTGTATGTGAAAATGTGTGCATGCTTTGTACCCCTTTAACAGTTTCTAACATTAAAATCCTTTATTAGCTTAAGTGGGACCCATGCTTTTTAAAATTCTTTGTTAATTTTTGAATGGCTTCTCTCCAGAATTAAAGAGCTCACCATACACAACCTGTAATCACCAACGACTCTCACAAACTCTGTGTTCAACAAATCATCCAAATAATCATCCTGTATGATGCTAATATTTATACTTAGATATCTAAAATAGAGGCTACTTCTTAATAATAATAATCTATGCAAAGAGATCCAGTGATTACTTAAATCTCTTAGCAAAGGAATTGGTCAATGCTACTGTTCAAAGGTCGGCATTTGGTGGTAGAACATTTTCTCACGAAGCTCCCTTTTCTTTGTAACTAAGCAATGAGGTCTGTGGATCTGGGAAACTTGCAGGTGTTCTTCAGTTCTTCTGCTTGGAGGGTGTGTGACTTGGACAAATGCAATCCTTACCCCTCTCCACACCGCAGTAGTGACAGCATCAGCCTGCCCAACTATCTTGGCTGTTGACTGCCAAGTTCTTGATCACCTGCCAAATCTTCAGCCCGGTGTAGATCTCACTATCATGACTTCAAACAGTATGTCAAACACTGCTAGTTGCTCATATAACACTCACTTCATCCTTCTGTATTACTGAGAAAGGTCAGATAGTCTACAAGGGGACTGTGTGCCCAGACAAGACACTTCACACCCCCTGCAGCTAGGGATGACCATGTGACCGTGAAGTTTTGACAGTATCTCTTCCTAAACACAAAAGCAAGAAAGTTTTCTGCCTTCTACCCTTCAATCTTCTCTTTTTCCTACCTGGAACACAGATGTGATATCTAAAGGAGGTGACTACTTGCAGCCCCGAGGATAAAAGCTTTTCATTAAGAAGCCACAATAAAAGATCTGAGTTCCTTGCAGCATGATGAAGCTATTGTATGAACTCTTGGCTAGACAGTGACTTCAGATTTTTTCTTACAGGAGCAAATTTGCCTAGTTTGATTGGTTACTAATGCTGAGTTTCTAGTAAGCAGCGAGAGGCAAACCCCAACCAATAAAACCCGCACTCTTGAGGTCTTCGTCCTCCATCCTTGCCCTGTTCACCTGGATCTCATCCCCCTTCCCATCAAATGGAGACTCCGCTCAACCTTGGGTTGGGATGAGCAGGCAAGGTTGCTAAAGATCCAGGTAGGAGGGCGTGTGGCATGGTTACACGTAAAAATCTCATAAAATCATTTTCTTTGAAGCAGAACCTCATACAAGACATCTTACTTTCCCCACGCACCCAAAGGAATCTTTCCCTAAACAAAATCCGCATTGTTAAGCCAGGAAAGGAAAGACAAAGGCAAGGTAAGGGCAGCACCCAATTCAGTACCTCAGGTCCAACTTGTACAGAACAGGCAACATAAACGCATGGCTGTTCTGCTTTTTTCTAAAATAATAATTGGTTCCATGTCAACCACCAACAGTTACCAATCTGCTCAGCTGTTTTTGGAAACACTATGAACTTGCAATATTTGATGGTTTGGGAAGAATTGCGATTATCATCATCATCATTATTATTATTAGATGCTAGAATTGGTTCATCTTTGGTCATCAGGAGCCTATTTGGATTGTTTCCTGAGTCTTCTCCGCGCATGCCTAGCAGTGGTTGGTCTTCTACTCTGTCTTCTGTAAATATTTACGGATAAGATGACGTGAAGGCTAACATTTGCTGAAAGATGATGGTAGGCAGGTATAAAAGGGACAGGTATCAAGCAGGACAGGCCATGGTGATGGCCTGAGAGAGGTTCGTTGTATCATTTTCTTTCGTTTGTATATCTGACATTTTCCAAAATAAAAAGTAAAGATAAAACAGTTTAGCCCATGACTTTCAAACTAGGATTTTTAAATCTTAGCAAGATTAGTCTCCCTCCACTTGCCTGGCAGGAGAACTGCGCAGCTCTAAGCGCCCCAGGCCTCCTTGGATTTGGCAACAGCAGCCCAGGGCCTGGGGGCCGTGCAGGGCTGTCTCGGGTTACGTCCGGGGAGCCTTCCCCGCGGGTTGCAGCTCGGAGGAGGCAGGCTAGGGCGCTGCGCGGGACGCCGGGCTGCTTGCTCTACACTCTCCGGCGGGGTTCTGGTCCTCTGATCCCCTCACAGGTCTGACTCCGCTGCTCCGGGCCCAGGGGATGTCGCTTTCCAGACGGGGCGGGAAGAAGCGCTGAGCCGAGGCAGACCCTGACCCTT